CGTTCCAGGGCCTCCCATGGAACCCGCTCTCCCTCCGCCCATTTCCCCTGAAAGTTGTTCAAACTGTAAGTATCATTGACCTTTTATGGCCGCCCTAGGAGAGGTTGGGGGTTAAAGATGGTCCTGTATATATATATATCTAGAGAGAGGGGTATGCCTTCTGTAGGCGCAACAGTTGCAAGTAATGCGGCGGCGGTCCAGAAAATTACCTTAAAATATAAACAAAATGCTGCAAGTGTGTGTGTGTATGTTGTTATTAGGAGAGAGGGGGAAAGAGGCAGGGGTTAAGGGGTATGGAGATGGGGCGTGCCAGGCTACGTGTGAAAATAATGAGCGAGCATGCCAAACACAAAAGGCAGCGGGGTTGAGGAACAAAAAAAAAAAAAACAACAACGAATTTCCCAGGTTTTTCACTTGGGGAAAAATCCCTTTTGGAAAGTTGCAGTGTATGGGAGAGGTGCGAGTGTGCGTGTGTGCGTGTGTGCGAGTGTGATCCATCATTCAGTGGCTAAACAAACAAAGCTAAACCAGAAGCAGAGCAGAAACGGCTAAACAGTAGATACACTAAGAGAAAAGCCTAAGCGAAAAGTATATATAACTTTCAACTCACTTACAAGATGAAAGTGTCTAGTTTTCTATACAAAAATATATATAAAATATGTTTTAAATAGTTTAATTAGCTTATTAAAATTTAGTAGTTCTTTTGAATAGTTTACTTTCTTAGTAACAATTTTTCTCAGTGCTGAAAAGCAGCATCAGCAGCCACGTTAATTTGTAGACGGCAGCGTTGAAAATAAAAATTAATATATGCCGCAACACGTTTCAACTTCCCAAAAGAGAGAGAGAGAGAGCGATGAGGGGGAACCCCCAAAAGGGGGGTTCCCGGTTTGTTGATTTTAAACCAAAGCAAAGCAAAGAGTTGGAAATAGTTTCCAGTGAAAACTCGGAGGAAAACCAAATAGCGAGAGCCTTGCCTGCCACACATTGCCACTTGTGCTTAATTAGGGATCTTTGAAAAACCAACGGAACTGCCTCAATTTGGAAAAGGGGAAACGGAAGTCCCCCCAACTTTTCGGCAGCCACGCCCCATTGGCCAGTAATTAAGTGACTGAGAGAGAGAGAGTGAGGGAATCCATCTAGGGAATAAAGCGAAATAAAGAGGTTAATTCGATTTGTATTCCTGGCACTTGGCAGCCTGCTGCAGACAGACAACAGACTTGCAGACTGCATTAAGTGCAAAGGATGCTTGCCAGTCGGGACAAAGCTGTAAACAATGCGCAAACAACTCCTCAAGGAGTGTCGCCCGGAATGAGCTGTAAAAATTGCAGCAAAGGAAGAAAGGATATTTAGACGCGGCTTACCGAAAGCTCAGCCAAGGAAAACAAGATAACAGCAGCAGCAGCATCAGACTCTAGATTCAGGATGAGACAGGAACAGGAATATATATATATATATATATATATATATATGCAGGGATATATATATCCTGGAGATGGCGTCTGTCAGGATTGCCGGCAGACAATGTGTAAACTATGCAGGCTCTATGCATAAACACACTCAGCACACTCAGCAGCTCCTGGCTGAGCAAACTTCAGAAGGAAAATCAGGAGGGGGAAAAGCGGTTGGGAAAACCCGGCTTAAAGTGGCCTCCGAGTTCATCAGCCAACTAACTGCAGGGAATCTGAAATCTAAATCCTTAGCAACTTGAGCAGAAAATAATCAGAAAATAGTTGAAGAATATTGGAGAGGATGAAATATGTCCTAGGACTCTTGCACAGGAAAAGATGTATTTATTTATTCCAACAAATATCCTAAATGAAGGATTCAGGTATATAATCTTTTTTTAACAAAACAAAACCTTAATTTAGTTGAAGGAAAAACAAAAGGAGACTCTGGTAAGCCTCACCTTCAAGGATCTGCCATGGAAAAGGGGTTTCTCCACCTGGCAACATGTCTATATAGGAGGTGGCTCCTTCCTACCTTTGTCAGACCAAATGTCTTGTGCAATGAATTGCATTTTGTTTTTCCTGCCGCATTCGTAATGAAGACTCCCAAAAAAATATAAGGAAAAGAAATGAAAAGAGGACGACTTCCATAGAGCCAAGTCTTGGCCGGGATCTTTGGCCTAAACCAGTCGGGTGTTTGCCAGTTTGCCAGTTTGTTTGTTTGTTTGTTTGTTTGCCAAGCGTCTCTGTCTGCTGGGGCCCGGGCTCGAAGGCAATAAAATAAGCAGCCAAATGAAATGGCTGCAGACTGCTGCAGATGCCACCTGCAAAAGGAGTAGAGAGAGAGAGCCTTTTTCTTTCTTTACCGCCTCAGAAAAAGAAGAAAACGTAAGAAAGATATATTGTATGAAACCGTATATGGAGCTAGTTTTGGTTCAGTGGGTGTGTGTGTGTGTGTTTGGCTGCATCTTGTCGCAAATAGTGAAAATATTTACCAATATCTGCTGTCCATACCGATATATACCCATATAGCGGTGGCGGCTCGAGGACGATATGAGATGAGATGAGATGAAAGGGGATTCCCCGGCTCGAACCCTGGCGCCTGTTAACGAGTGGCCTTTGAGCAGCACGTTCGTGTTTAGACTCTTAACACATTTCTATTTTGTTGGTACGCTCCAAGTCCTGTTCCTTGGTCCTTGCCCGGTTGAAGTGCAATTTAGTGAAGGCAAATGTGCCACGACTATGGGATACCTTAATAATTGATGTTCGTTTTTGGTAACTAATGATTCTTTACGTCTTTTTAGTCATAAACTGGAGGTATTGAGACTTTACCAAGATCTGATTATAGGAAAACCATATATAAAACTTATAGAACCCTGAACCCTTTCTTTTTCTTTATGCTAACACACAATATACCCTTTTTTGCTGACAACGTTTATGAAAACTCGGGGATCTCTGGGAACCGTCGGACATCATCGGCACGTACACAGCGTTGTCTCGCCCAGACAGTTTGCAAACACTGTCCGCCCCCTCCCGAAAAACAAAAAAAAGGAAAACCAACCCAATTCAGACCCTAGCCCACTGTCGTCCTGTCCTGCCATGTCCTGGCCTCCATTGTTTCGCTTTCCATGAAGCCAAAGGAAGTCAAAGAGAGCTTTCTCTCTTTCTCTGCGTCCGGTTGCGTCTTAAAGATGAAGATAAAAACCTAGTGGATCAGCAGCAGCACTTAATTACATGAAACGAAAACTGTTAACATTCCGGACAAGAACAAGGACTCGTCCTGAGTGGTGCTTCGGTCTGGTGACATGATAATCATCGAATCGAAACGCTCAGCATATCTCGAAGATCCTGAAAGGACATAACATCCGCATCCATCGAGGGTCGTCAGTGTTAATTGACCCAATTGAGGGAGGGGGTGGTGGGAGACTGTGGAGAGGGGTTTTTACCAGGAGGAGGCGATGACCTACAAAGGCGGAACAGCAACAAAACGGCAGATGATGACCAAAACGGGAGGCGCTCCATCGCTCCATCGCATAACTCGTATAATCTGATGCGATTTTGAGATTTGCCAGGCCTGGGCCGGGGACCTCGCTTTTTAAAAAATGCAACAGCCGCAGGCAGGAGCCACTACAGGCGGGGACCATAAAAGGAGCTAAAGTACAAATCGTTGTCACATGTGAGCCGCATTTTTATGGCCGCCGGCTTGGGAATTTCTGCAACATTTCCAAAAGCCGGAGGCAGTGGGAAGGAGATTGAGGCAGGAGATGGGTAAATGGAGGCAGGAGGCAGTAGGATGGGGCAGGAGGCAGACCCAGGCAGCCGCGCATGAAGAATTTATTGTCCGCTCTGTAAATGGTCAAGGCAGCCAGCAGACATTTGGGCATCCGCTGGCCCTGTCCCGAAACGGACTGCTGCTGCTGCTCCTCCTCCTGCTTCTGGTCAGTAAACTACACTGGAAGGATAATGATTTAATATAGAGTATATAATAAAGAAAAATCAAAGCAGATTGTAAAGTCCTTGCCAGAATTATGCTGCAAAAACTCTACCTTAAATCGCTAGGCCTTGGTGAGGCTTTCTAAGGATTTAAAGCACCTTAAACCCTTTTAAGTAGAATTATAAAGAACCAACTAATTTCTCTTGGTGCACTTGGTCCTCCCACTCCATTTTCTGGGCCAGTTGCAACTGCCACACAGCCGCTGCTCTCCATTCAATTGTGCAACAGGTCAGCCTTGGACCGCGAAAGGCGCTGCAAATTTTTATTGCTTTCACAAGAATCGAGGGGAGGCCCTTTTAAAGGCTTTAGGCCTGGTCCGGCAGCAGGCGGACAAAGATGATTCAATTGATTGATTGATTGATTGATTGATTGATTGACCGCTTGCCTGAACGTATGAGGAAAAAAGCAGCAAACCAACTTATCAGCCAGTGACGTCAAGCAAATCACCAAATCGTCGCTGGGTGGCCTTTGTCCCACAGTCTTTCTCTATGGTTGAAGATGTTAATTCAAGCTGATTGACTTGCAACTTGCAACTTAGTGTAATTAGTTTTTAAAAAGGTCAATTGTAGATGTATTCATTAGGTAATCGAACTTTAAGGCCAAAGTTTAACTGTTTGTTGTAAGTTTAACCATACCTTATGTTAGGGTATACAAAAACCCCTCTCTATTGGCTTTGGCATTCTAATCTCTTATTGTTTTCTGCCCTCTCAGCATGTTGTCTTCCCAGCAAAGTTGTGACTTAGCAGAGATCACACATAGTAGTACAGCTTCTTGATAACAAAACCATCTGGTGATATGCAGAGACAGAGGCGGTCTTATTTCTAAAGGGGAAGTCTCTTCTTATCAATGAAATTATTATCCCCCCTAGGGGGTACGCCTCTGTACTCGTCTGCACGGTGAGCTGGCAGACAAAGTCCACAGACCCGTTCCAACTGCTGATCTAAGGGAAATCGTTTCGTTTTCGTTTTTGGTTTTCGTTTTGGTTTTCGCTTTTTTGGTTTTTGTTTCAGTTTCGGTTATCATTTCGCTTTCTCCGGCTGGCTCATTCCGCTGCGAACACTCGAGTTTGCTGTATCGTCATCATGTGGGCGCAAAGATTGGGCCGTGCCCTTGTCACACGCTCCTCCTGCCGTTGGATTAGTGCCAGGATAGTGGACAATTCCAGCATTGAGGTGCAGCCAGAGAAGGACTCACGACCTTTGACCTTTCCGGGAGTGTGGTTAAGAGACAATTGCTTGTGTTCAGACTGTTTCCATGACACCTCCCGTTCACGCAAGTTGGATTGGGATAAGTTTGATACCAAAGTTCGACCGGTGAGTCTGCGCACCGAGGATCAAAAGCAGCAGAAGGAACTTGTGGTTCAATGGAGTGACTCACATGAGAGCAGGTTCTCCCTCCAGTGGCTGCAAGAGCGCAGCTTTGAGGAGAAACGTCAGAAGAGTTACCTGGAGGATTTCTATCGTCCAACCACCAAACACTGGGCTGGAGCAGAGTTCCCTTCGATTGCTCGACACTTTAGCTACGAGGAGGTAATGCAAAAGGACTCGATGCTCTTGGAGTGGCTCCAAACCCTGGCCGTCCATGGTGTGGCTTTGCTCCGTGGTGCTCCCCTGGACGAGGGTGTGGTGCGTCGCCTAGCAGAACGTGTGGGTTTCATTCGACGCACCACCTACGGTGAGGAGTTTGTGGTTCAGGCCAAACCTGGTGCCCAGAATTTTGCTTACCTCTCATTGCCGCTGCCCCTGCACACGGATTTGCCCTACTATGAGTACAAGCCCAGCGTTAATATTTTGCATTGTGTTGTCCAGACGGAGTCAGCCGGTGGGAGTAACCTGCTAGTGGATGCCTTTCACATAGCAGACATCCTGCGTCGTGATTATCCTGAGGATTTTGAGAGACTTAGTAGGGTCCTGGTAGACTGGAATGACATTGGCAGCGAAGATGGACGAGAGTTTCATAACATTTGGCGAGCGCCGGTGATATGGTGAGTTCAGATGGAACTTTTCCTCACTCTTCTCTACTCTACTCTGTATTTTCGTGGATCTTCTGCAGCTTGGATGCCCAGGGTCGTTACACTCGGGTGAATCACAGTGTGCCCCAGCGGGATAGTCACTTCAATGTGCCCCTATCTGAGGTCCTTCCCTGGTACGAGTCCTATGCCCGATTTGTCCGCTTGGCCCGCAAGGATGCTCATGCCTTTAAGACCCAACCCGGGGATGTGCTGACCTTCAACAATATAAGGCTGCTCCATGGTCGTACAGGGTATGATGACTCCGAACGCAACTCGAGGTACATTGTGGGAGCCTATCTTGACTGGGACATCATCTACTCGCGCCTCAGGGTCCTTAAGAAGGGCAGGGATGCGAGGCAGTAAAAGTCGCGACATCCTCTGCCATATTTTCCAAGCCATTTGACGAGAGCTGCTCATTTGAATAGTGGCCTGAATCGGCAGGATTTCCGGATTTGAACCGTCACATATGCTTCTTCTGCTCCTTTTGCTCCTTCTAAGCCAGCTCCTGGCGGCAGTTAAGGCAGCTCGAGCGCAAAAATGAAAAGTTGTAAAAAATCATGATGATCCTGGCGAACGTCACCAAGTTTTTGGGGGACTGTCGCGGCTTATTTGCATCGCGGCATTGCCTGACAAATCGCTTGTGAAAATGATTGACAGCGGGTGGGGGTGTAAAGGGAGGACGCTATATACTATATATATACAATATTTCGTGTACAAATTGGCCCAGGCATAAAAGTCCTGGCTGGTGCCACTCAAGTCCCTGCCAAAGCCAAAATAAAAATGTTCTTTCGAGTTTGCCTTCAGGCAGTACAGGCTAAGGAAATTTGGGGTTTATTTTTATATAGAAATCTTAAAACTATAGAATTTAGAAATGATTATTTGTGTTATCCAATCCAATTCAATTCTTTATAGTTTTTAAAATATATTTACTTGACTTTTTCCTAGGATTTTTAAACACTTTAGATGCCTGATTACCTCTGTAGTTTGTATTTTACATTTAATAAAAGTTTAAAGTAATTTTTTAAGAACTTCTCTTTTTATTATTACATATTCGCACTTTATATAGCTTCGATCCATAAAGTTATGAGTTTTCAGTGTAAATGCCATTCAGTTTTCAAGTTTGGAGTGCATTAACCTCACCGTTAATCGCTTAACACTCACGCTTCCGGCTCCTCGAGGTGACAGCTCCTGGCTGTGCTCCTGGTCCGTGTCCGGGTTCGGGGTCCTCGAAGTACCCTTTTGCAATAAAAGTAACCAGGAACCAAAGTAGCAAGGACTCATAAACGTACCTCCAAACTCTGCCCTCGGCTGGAAAACTTTCTATGCCAATTTCCTTTTGAATATTTTATAGGGCCCCCATTATGCCTACTTATGTCTTGTTATAGTAATAAAATAAAATTTAAAAAGTCTACGAGAAGTGGGAGTGAAAAATTGTTAAGAAAAATATGAAAAGTCTGTGGTAACACAAAAAAAAAAAGAGGAGAAGGAGAAGGAAACCCCAGTAACTCCCAGCAACTCTCTGCATCGACACGGTACCGTCTTTGGGTCTCAAACCCTTTTTCCTTTACCATTTCCATTGCCATTTCCCATTTCCCTTTCCCCTCTGGATTCAGGACCTTCCTCTTACAAAACGAATCCCAGCACTGGCAACAATAACAGGAACAGCGAGTGGAGTGTAGGAGGAGGAGGTTGCTCCCAGGAGTGAGAAGCTGGCGGAGATTTGTGGTTTTTATGCCGGCTAAGACGGCTACCAAGGACGCTTCCACAAAGAGCGAGCTTTTGGGGTTTTTCATAGGAATGAAATATGAAGAATATATAGAAGAATATTTGTAGAATATATATAGAATATATATTAGAATATATACCAAAACATCAGCCCAAAAGTATGTCTGAAATATCAATACAACTTCTCTGCAGATGGGCAAATGTGGCATACTTTGAGGTGAGGTTTCTTCTCTGATGAATAAGCTTGTATTTCATATATTTTATTAAATTCTCTCTCACCTTAACTTTAAACTAACAACTATAATAATAGTAATAATATGAAGTAATCACTCACTGTTAACACTCCAAGTAACAGCCTTACTGAGAGCGTAGCGCATCCTTATCCTTGGGTTTCCTTGTAGCTCAGTGAAAGCATTTCCTTGGCAAGATGCTTTAGCCTTTGCCAGTGAGTGTGTTGTGTGTGTGTGTTGGGTGTGTATATTCCCTTAACACGCATCATGACGCCCAGACGAAAAGCGAACAACTTCTTTTTCCCATTCCTCCCCGCCCCCTAACCCAAAAGGCGAGAGAAAATGAAAAGTCTATAAAAAGTTTACTTTTTTAATACTTTCCACATTTATATGTAATAAAAAATCTTGTAAAATGCGCCTTTTTTGCACTTCACAATGCGCCCCATGTGGGGATGCCATTGGTGGGATTCCCAGCGTCGCAGTTTCACTTCCTGGATGCCACACAGCCGGCACTATGCCAGGATCTCGACGCGGGGTTTTAGGGTTCAGTGCAAAATTCTGTTATACTCGACTGGCGTCTCCTCTCCTGGATTTCCCCTGGCCTTCTCCATGGTCTTTCCTTGCAACTGTGGAACCGCAGGAGCGGACTCTGACTGATGGAGGGATTCCCCCAGGAAGGAATGACAGATTATGAATTGAAATGGAAAGAATTCCAAGACGGACCTGTTTACTGGCCACATTTTGTGTGGCATTCAGTGTTGCAACAACAAGTGGCAGCACTTGAAATCCAAGCGTCGTAATTCCGAAGCAGACGAACCCACCAGGAGAAGAATGATTCTTAGCCCGGGCTGAGCATCATCTCTGGCTACGACGCTCTGCTCCAGGGAAAAGCCTTTGACCGGACGGGCTTTCTCTTCTCTGCGTAACAAAAAACAACATTATTGAGGGAAAAAAGGTTTAATGCGGCCTAAGCCCTCACTCCCAGATGCTGTGGAGGATGGATTCGGGGTAGAGTCCTTCCCCAGAAGGGAAGACAGCAACGACGTCGTCAATCGGCATTTGGCATTTGGCATTTGGCATTTCTGGCCATGGCAACGCCACCGCCGCCAACTGACGATGAGGTTTTGTGCAGCAGGCCACAAAATCCCCGGCTGCCTGGCTGCCTTCCTAGTCTCCGCTGATTGGCCAACTAATCCCCGCATATCCTTGCCACTACCCCGCCATCCGTTTAATAAAGTCCTGAAAAAAAAAAAAACACAGAGAAATAAAGATGAAGTGAAAGTGAAAGCGACAGCGGAAGCTTTGCCAAGGAAGCATTTTTCAATTTTTCACTTTAATCAAATTAAAATTCATTCGTTGCGCCTATGAAGCGTGCAGCAGCTTTCAAAAGGGGGGTGAATTTTGGGGTGGCTTTTCCGGGGGGGATGCGCTCCCGGTTCCTGTCTGCCGCTGACAGACTCTCCGTCCCGCATTATGTCCTTGGATTGCCAGGGCAACCAGACCAGAGCAGCCTATGAGGCATTACCACCACAGGACTCGCTCTCGTACTCGCCGCGTTCTCGTCCTTGTCCGGCACATCACCCACCACCCACCAAGTTTTTGGCGCTTATTTTCCCTGCTTTTTTTTTTTTTTTGTTTTGGTTGTGTATGTTTTATAGGAGTGATACCTTTCAGCGGGGGGAGAGTATCGATTTCGCATATTTGGATTATTATTTTTTACGTTTCGAGCATTCCATATTACCTATTTTTTAAGCCATGAGCATGGAGAATTAAATAGTCTCTGGGGTGGCCTAATGGAAGAATCCTATTTTGAAGTCATTAAGGGAAGGATTTTGATTCGATATTTGGGGTCTTTTGTGAAGGAAAATAGATAAACTTGGGGTGTAAATGAAGTTAGAAATTATAGGAATTATTCAAATAGAATATCCTTTTCTAGGATAGTTCTCTAAGGAATATATTCTAAAATAAATAAATAGTATTTGATTTGTAATCAGAAATATATATAGTACCTTGTAAAAAAAACCTCTTATAACATAATTTTCTACATAATTCGTTTTGTGAGCCTGAAACCTGAAATTTAATCTGCAATTTACGCTTATTTCTCTATTAATTTATATCCTGGCAAGAACCAGAGCACATCCTCTAACAGCTTTCTCTATTAATTTATATCTTGGCAAGAACCAGAGCACATCCTCTAACAGCTTCCTTTAGGGTATCCCCTGGTCGAGCATTCCCTCACCGATACCAATGCCCAGCACTTACTACGCGGCGCATTTTATTTCTTTGTCAAGTTTGCCAGACCAAAAACTTGGTCCTTCGCTTTGCATTGCGGTCGAGCGTCGCCCTCTGGCCGCACATCCTTACTGAAGGCTGAAGGCTGAAGGCTGAAGGCTGAAGGCTGAAGGCTCACCACCTCACCGCCTCTCTGGGAAAGTCCTTGCTGCCTGAAACTGGAAACGCTGCAGGCAATTTTTTTTTTTTTGTTGCTGTTGTACATTTTGGGCACAACTTCAGAGATGCAACAGCAGTAGAAGCAGCAGCCACCCTGGGGCCTTGAAATTTGATAAATATGCGTATTAGTTTCAGTCCAGCATCCCGAGTCCTGCTCCTGCTTCTGGCTAGAGAGAGAGAGAGAGAGCAAAGCTCAAATAAAACTAAGAAAAAGGGCTCCAGGCGCAAATTCTACTTAAATTGCGCTTTAAATTAATTTTCCCCGTCCAAGGACGATTCCAGGCAGAGATTGTGAGCCCGAACTGGGTCCTTGCGATGGCAAATTGGGTGGCAGGACAGGCCACAGGACCTCGGCTCAGTCCTGCCATTTCCCAGCACAATAAACTGCTTATGCAAAATCAATAAGAAGTGCTGATGATGCTCCAGGCGAAGAAGGAGGGGAATGTCCTCGAACAGGAGTTCCCGACGAGACGCCTTTATCACCTATCCTAATGGTGATGAGTTCAAGGATTTCCCCAAATAAAAAGAAAGAATAGTTCGTGTAGAGGTGTTTAATGTTATCTTATTTAAAATTTATGTAATATTTAAATGTATGTAATTAAAGGAGAAAAAAAAGCTCCTTCAGGGTTGAAAATTAAGCATAACTAGGCCGAAAATTATTTCATTTTAATTCAAAAAGCTGTTCTAAGCTAGTTTTTTGTAGGTTAATAAATCTGCATACTTAGATTACACATTTAAAAAATTAAAATTTTCATCAATTTTTGATAATTTTAACGATGTAACCCCTTATAAAAATTTGAAAATTTGGGTAATTTTTTTATCCTTCGAAATATGTCTAGTTTGATTCTGCTGTTGATGCTGATCCAGAATATATATGGTTTATAGGGTCGGAAATGTTTCCTTTGAGCGATACGAGCAAATTTCTGACCAAAATATAAAAATAAATTGTATTATATATTGTAATATTTTTATTTATATATTATTTGCATTTTTATATATTTTCAGTTGATATTTTAAAACATAGTGATAATTACAATCAACTCATTGCTTATAAAAATACTCAAAGGACTTAGGACTAAGGACTTAGGACTTGGTGTGCTCTGAAGGTTGATCTTCTGTAAAGGTATAGTAAAATTTTATAATATATCAAACTTACCTGGTAATCATTCCATAACCCACCCATATTTGAATACAAAAACTCTGCTTTTGATCTCGTTATTAGTTTTATTATTATTATTAGCAATTTGTCCACTTAATTCGATTAAACTTTCATGCTCTTGTTGCTTTGCTTTCGGTCTCAAGTACACATAAATGTTATATATATGTATATATATATATATATATATATATATATATTTATATATATATATATATGTATATATTTTCTTGTATATATATATATATATATATAAGTGGGTTGTCCCGCTTGTCTGCTTTTATTTCTTTGATATAGTTTCATCTTTTGCCACAAAAATTGCATATCATATGTGGGTTGTTATGATTAATCATAGTTAAATATTTATATATATATATATATATATCGATATATATATATATATATATATATATATATATATATATATTTTATAAGTACCAACTACAATACTTTAATATCAGACAATGTGAATTTTTCCATTCTGCATTCGTCGGGGGTGTGTGTATGGATGTGCTTTTCGTGGGTTTCAACATAATAATATTTAGCAATAATCAAAAAAGTGAATAATTCCGATCCAGCCCTCGAGTATTTTTGAGTATTTACAAAAAATCTAAGATAAAAAAAAAACAATGCTGTTTTATGTTTTACTTTTTGATTATATTTATGTGTATTATTATATGTTTATATATTCCCTTTTTTCTTTTTTGTATTCTATATCTTAATCGTATGAATAATTCTTCCGTCTGGACACACACGCACATATGATATTCGTATTAGTCTGACACAAAAACAAAAAAAAAAACAAACTATTTTATTATAATTTATAATCAATCGTGTATATATGTGTGTGTGTGTGTGTGTGGCTGAAGGATATGTGATTAGTGCAGGGACGAGAAGGATACAATTTTGGATTCGCTCTGCGCCCCGTAACATATAAATACATGTCGCTATAAATAAATATATATATATATATATATTCTCCGCTTTCGAGTGTGTGTGTGTGTTATTAATTTTAATTTAAGATTAGGTGTCCTTGGGGGTGGAGAGGGGGTTTTTGTAAATAAATAAACATCTTGACATATCAACTAATGACTAATTTGGTTATGTTTTGCGTCTCTCTCTCACTTTCGTTAAGTAATGCTTAAGTACTTTTTGTTCGTTCTTTCGTTATGTTTTTTTTTCTTTTTTTTTCTCTTTAGCGGAAACGGAAGTCAATTTGTCAGCTTTTGGGGCTAGTTTCCTGTTTCTGTTTCTTGTTGCTATTGTTATTGTTTTGTTAGTTTTTTTATTTATACCAAATGCTAGTTAACAGTTACAAGCAGGAGCCACAAGGATCCTTGGTTGTATTTTTTTTTTTTTTTGATTTCATGTCTCTGCCGTTGCTTATCCACTCAACCGATGCTTCGGCGTCAATTTATATGCTAATGGAGTCTGCATCCTATTTAAAATACATATGCGACAACACGCCCACTTTTCAGCCATGCCACGCCCCCATCCCTGGGTTAAATGAATGGCAAAAATTGCAAAAAACTGAGCAGAAAAAAAATACAGCAAAAAATGCAACGGGGGGAGAATCCCAATTTATTTAAATATATATAAATGTTTTATATATCTGTGCATATGCATAACATACATATATTAATATATATATATATATAAATTAATAGGGGTTTTCATGGCCACACGCCCACACATATGCCACACAACTCCCCCTCCATTTTGGCCAGAGAATTCCGTTGACAAAATTCAGTTAACGCAAAATCTCATTTAAATATGCATGAAGGCAGCCGGCCGCAGTCGCCGAGGCCACAATTGAATTTCTCATTTCATTTCTTTGTCTTTTTTTCAGAGTTTTTTGTTTTTAACAGCCAGGGTTGAATATTATTATTTGCAGCATTTATTTAACGATTGTATTTTTGGCACGCTTCAGGTAAAGGGTTGCACGCCCCAGACCCTAATAAGCTTTCAGAGAGAGGGTTTATGATACTGATCCTGTGATCCTTTACTGCCTGGTTTTAATTGCTATTCAAATGGATTTTATTTACTTCTCTTTCAAAACGAGTTATTTTGGTTATTTTAAAAAGAATTTATTTAGGAAAGTAATGGGAACAAATATGAATTTTACAAGAAGTTCTAGTTTTAGTTTAGTTTTTCATTTTGAGTTGGTATTTAAACCATAATCTATGGATTTATTTTAAAAAGAATATCAAGTGTCTGATTTGGACTTCTTTACTATATCATTATCATTCTCATATGCAATTCCAAAACTTTTCTGAAATCTCATTCAATACTTAATAGATCATAATTTTTTCTGCTGACTTTTGAAATGTTGACAAATCCCTTTCATTTGCACATATACCCTTCGCTCTCTGCTGGTAACATTTATACAAATAAAAAATATGCATAAATGTATCCAGTTAACAGTTGACAATTCTGCATTTATCTGACTGCAGGACATGCATGTGTTTGCGGTGGGCACACGTGTGCTCATGACTCATACGCCACGTTGGCCGGACCTGGATTTCAATCCTGATCCCCCGATCCCAATCCCTACAGAGGCTAATTATGCATCCCTGGAGGCAGGAGTGGGTGTAGCAGAGTGAATGCAAACACGGCTCTCGGCTTAAATGCCGCAGCATGTTAACTGTCCAACTCTCCACTCGCCGACACTCGACGCTCCCTGCACATGTTGGCCCCATTTTTGATTTATCATACATCATGGTCACGGTCAGACCTGAATAGCTTGGGAGTGGGATTCGAAATGGGAATGGGATTCGGAATGGGTTTCGGAATGGGAATGGTCACAGCGACATCGGACATCAGAATCAGACAGTGTGACAGACAGACAAAAGGCTATAGAGAGCTGCTGCTGCTGCTGCTGTAGGTGTCGTGGCAAAGTCGGCTAAAGATCTCGGATACTCGACAGTTTCAATGGCTGGCAGACAGAACATAAACATGAAAATAAATTCATTAAAACATTTATCAAGTTCGACACTTGGCTGTCATATATCATGTTACATTTTGAGACCGAAACATGTTTAATCCGAACAGCAACATTGAACAAAAAAAACGGAAAAAAAGAGTATGTAAATGCACTGAGCGAATAAGAGTGTGGCAAGTGGCAAGTGGAGAGTGGTGAAATGAAGAGTAGAGAGTGGAGAGTGGAGAGTGTCCAAGTAAAGAGTAGAGAGTGACGAAAGGCACGAGAAGAGTGAAGAATGGCGAGGGGCAAGTAGGGAGTGTTCTCCACTCAGTAGAATGAGTAGAGTGAAGAGTAGAGACTTGAGAATAGAGAGTGGAGACTAGAGACTGGAGAGTAGAGAGTTGAGAATAGAGGGTGTTGAATAGAGACTGGAGAGTAGAGACTGGAGAATAGAGACTGGATAATAGAGAGTGGGGAATAGGGAGTGTAGAGTAGATAGTGGTGAACAGAGAGTGGGCAATAGAAAGTGGAAAGTAGAGAATGGAGAGTAAAGAATGGAGAGTAGAGAGTGATGAACTGAAAAGTAGAGAATGACAAGGGGCATATCTATGACTCGACCCTCGAAGTTCGCTATCACAAGGAAAATTATAAAGCTATGACACTAAAGTTTATATAAACCATTATCAATTGGATTTTCCCTACACTTTGTTTATAAGAAATTAGGAAAATATCTTTCCTAATTCCCTCGATTTCTCGCTGTGTAATTCCTGCCTTTGTGGAGCTCAATCTTCTGTTTGTTTCTGCTGTTTAATTTGAGTAACGTGTTTCATGATGTCTGTTGCTTTTTTTTGTGTTGCTGTTAACCGTGATGCATATCGATCGGTACAGTGGGCACAAGCTAAGGGGAAAAATGATAGCTTAAGTTGAAGGCTAAAAGCTAAAGAAAATAAGGTAAAATTTGTGAGATTAACGGAGTAAAACTGAAAATTAAATCAATAAAAAAAGTGATTGAAGGGAGATGAGACATTATTTTAAAATGTCCTAATAATATATATATTTTCGGTACAATATATAATATATATTTATTATATTCTCTTTAATTTTATTTATTAGCTGACTCCACTGTACACAGAGGCTCCCCCGGAATGGGCCTCAAGTGTGCGTGGCCTACACTGGGCTCGAAAAACGAGTTACAAATAACAAATAACACCTCACTTTGCGCTCTTGACGCCTTCGCGGTCCAAAAGAGGAGACAGAGACAGTGACAGAGATAGAGACAGAGACAAAGACAGAGACAGGTTGAGTTTGCAATTTGCATGCATAATTCAAATCGAAAATTAAATCCAGATAAATGCATTTTAAATGCGTGTTCGTCGGCGTGTCATGTGTGTATGTGTGGATTTTTCCCCCTCTTTTTCATTTATTGATGCATTCATCAAACAAATTGTTATGCAAAAGCGCGTGAAAAATCAACTGGCAAACAGTCAATAAACATGTGCATAATTATGGCTAAAACTGTTTGCATTAGCTCTTGAGAAACGTAGCCGAAAATATCGAATCTATAAACTATGGGCAACAATGTGTGGTAGCTTATTTTCTTACTTCCTTTTTTTAGAAGGAAAAATGGAGTGGCATTAGTAGGGGTCAGTTTTTAACTTGAATCTATTTTTAAAAAATATTAAATTTGCATAGAAATTGTTATCTACATTTTTAATTTAATTTTGACTTAATTTTTGTCACATTTTGATGAATTAAATATTTAAATGAAAGTTTGTTTTGCACAACTCTTTTGATTAAGCTTCTATTGTTGTTTTGTTTACTATAAAAATATTGAGCAATTAGCTGGGCATTTTCATGAATTTTTTAATACTAAGAAAAAACTAATAATAATATTGTTAAGAGGAAGGGGTATTTCCAACCCCTTTTGAAGCACGCCACTGGTTGCATGTTCGAGAGTTTCGAGAGGCTGGCATCTGGTCAAGGCTTGTGTTGTTGGTTTATGACTGCACTTATGGTGTTGCCTGTTCCTGTGTGTGTGTCTAGACCACCCCCCTGGAAAATATACCCCCCTTCGGGTGATGATTTTCACTATGTTTTTCCCCAACTGATAACTGTTTTTTATGGTCATAACTGCAATGGACACGCTTGTAACTGTAATTAGCATTTGGCGATTTATAAAAGTGTTTCCACTTCTTTTTTAGGGCTCTATCAGCTGCTGGTGAGTGTGTAGTGTGTGTAGAGTGTGCAGAGCGTTTTATGGACTAGAAACGCCACTGCAGGTGGTAGCTTATCTAGGCAGGAATTGTATAGGATTATATAGTGTGTGTGTGTGGCTCAAACGATTCTTCGCAGGGGGGAGGAGAAAATATGGAGTTCAAGGTTGTTTGGTGATGATACGGATTAATTAATTTATAGCATGATGCCGAAGAAGGTCAGAAACTTGAGTAAACTGTACAATTTATACAAAAACCGATACCTAGCCAAGTGTGTGAAATTGAAATCCGCTCTGACATATTCCGTTTCCGGCTCGATTCAACTGCATTTGCGTGCCCTTCGCTGGAAGCGCTTCATGCGCAATGACCACTCGTCCTTCCATTCCAGGACCACGGAACTGGGTCCAATGGCCAAATAGCCAGGCGCCGCTTCCGAATCACGTCCAAGGATGAGATATGATCTGTAAAGGAAACGGAATTTATAGGAAAGTTTAGGGTTTAGTTGGGTTCTTCTTCTATATTTTTAGGTTCTATACTATTTATATATTGTTCAAAAGATATATACTCACTTATTCAGTTTGATTTTGGGACACTGGCATTCGATGCTCTTGCGTGGCACTAGGAGCATCATATTTCCTCGTCCCAACAGGGAGCTAGTTGTGCCCGACATGGGATTCCTCTTGAAAATGGTCTGAATATTGATCTCATATTTGTATATTTCATTCTGTCGCTCAATGGAGAACTTTTCGGTGCTAATGTCCTGGGAGGCACGATCATGACCAATCACCTTGGCCAGAATAGCTGCATTAGGGTTAAAAGGATACAAGTTAGAGCCACCTCTTGTCTTTCCCAGGAGGATACTACTTACCATAATCTTCCATGCAGAATTTGTTGAGATTCAGCTTCTTGGGACTGGCCTTGCACTTGCCGCAATCTATAGAGGAAGAGGGATAAATATAGCTAGAAATTCCCCAAGATTTCTCTCCGTGTACACTTACACTTTTTCATTTCCTCGGCCTGCGAACCGCCGCCATCCTTGTAGTCACCTGTGCCACCTCCTCCACCGCCACCGCCGCCGGCGCTTTCAGCTTGAATCATATTCGCATTGGTGGGCACCTCTGTGGAAGATGGGTTTCCAAGGATTAGCTTCGTCAGGATTAGGATTAAAAGAAGCTGGCGAACTTACTGATGCATGGCGCCACATGGGAACGCGTCTGCTGATATCCTCGGGCACAGCGATTGCAGGTCAGTCCGGTTACACCCTCCTTGCAAGGACACTGGCCACTCAGGTGGTTGCACGTCTTGCCCGTGGAGCCCACCGGGTGGCAGTCGCAGCCTAAGGAGCAAAAAAAGAGACAGTAAATGTCAGTGTTGTCCTCATTAGGTCCATCTATCTAACCGCCCCAGCTGTCCGGCTGACAGACGGCTTACGAGACCGCTGATTGATGACAGCCTGTTATCAATAAACCAGAGGCAAGGAAGGGACTCTTTGGCAAGATAACCGAGGCTAGAGATACCCTAGAGAAGGTCTAAGTCATAAGTAAACCAATTCAAACTAAAGCTAATCGCCTTTTAAGCCTTTTTAGAAAGTCTCCTATGTAATAATATGCCTAAAATAATCCTCTTTAAAAGTATCCTTAAAATTTAAAGCTACAAAAGAAGACCCAAACAAACTTGATAGAAAAAGCAAAACTCTTTTGCTGTCATAAGAGTACAACCACGACTTTGTGTCGCCCGCCCCTTATTCAATCAGCGCAGGAGACTCAAGACAGGACTTGGAAAAACAGGACACGAAGGACTTACGCTTGCAGACTTTGCGGTGATTCGGCGGCTTGGTGGCATCTCGGTAGTATCCCTCGCGGCAATAGTGGCAATACCGACCGGTGGTGTCATGCTGGCAATTGTAGCACACTCCTCCAGACACCCGACCGGATAGCTTGTACAGTTCCAGATTAAAACGGCAGCGACGGGCATGGCCATTGCACTGACACACTGTGAAAAAAAGAGGAAAGAGTTTCCATGATTAGAAGGGGAAATAGTAAAAGTATAGTAAATAATAAATAGGATTATATATCCTTCTAATCTTTGCCTTAGCAACATCCCTAGACATAAAGTGTCAACAAATTGGGCAGCCATTTTGCCAAAATTACCGTCATGGCCGTAACGAGCTTAACCCGCTCCCATTTGGCCATTTTTGCCATTATCAAGGATAACGGCCTGGTCAGTGGAGCCGAAGAAACCTAATCATTTAATGGCAGTCCTGGCCAGCCTTTGGCCATCATTTTTCTCCACTGCCTTTTGCCAATAGTGGGTCCTAGTGGGTGTTGGGTCCTTGTGGGTGTGATCCACATCCTCCCACCCCTCCCCATTTCATAAATAATTAATAATGATAGGAAACTGTTGTGTTGCTCTATTTTTCGGACAGGTGCAGGGAGGGAAAATGGTGTTCAGCTTCCCCTTGGCTATGATTGATTATTGTTGCTACTCCTGCTGCTTCCTTGATTGATGAAAAATGTTGCAAGGATGCCGGAACGTGGGGCCAACCTTTCATTTTTATTTATTTATTTATGGTCTTATTTGACGCTGTTGTTTATCGATTTTGCAGACGGTAGCAACCCACGCAGTGCCCGCTTCCACCTAATGTCCATTTAATTAGTTGGACAATATCATAAAATAATTTTAGCAACTAATTGGCAGCACTTGACTGCAATTTATGGTGTTCCAGGGACTCCTGTCCTGCGTTGGTTGGCTCCTCTCTTTTTCTCTGAACTTGCGCCTTTTGACCAGCTTTCTCCCGTTCTACCAATTTCCCCCTCCTTCCTCCCTGCTGGCAAAGGCATTAAGCGTGATTTATACACAAACACACACGCATACACGCACGTGGCCCTTTGGGAGAGTGCAACAGTCGAGGTCACACCAAGAAGACTCTTAAGATTTAGGTATACATAAAATATATAACTTCGGTTTCAGAAAGGACTTATAATAAATAATACAACTTTATTAAATTGGAAAGCAAAATTAATACAATATTAATTGATCTTATCCTAAATTATTTCTTAAATATTAATGCATCCTATTAAATAGTTTTGTTAAAGGAAGATGAGTTTTATACTCTTTATTTTAGTCAGAAGCTTGAAATACAGTGAAGGAGTCATTTCCGACCACATAAATCGCATATATTCTTGATCAGCATCAATAGGGGAGACGAACTAGCTTTGTCTGGACAAAAAAAAATTTCGAAAATTTTTCAAAATTTTACAAGGGGTTACATCGTTAAAATTGACAAAAATTTAGCAAAAAATTTCAATTTTTTAAAATTTGAAATTGGGTATGCAGATTTGTTAACATAATAAAAACTAACATAGGCACGCTTTCCGATTTAAAATTAAAGCTTTTTTGGTGCAGTTATGAGTTATTTAAATTTTGATTTTTTGATAAAATTGTCATTTAAAAATATGAATAAATATGGATTATTATTTTAAAGTAATTTATGATTCAGAATTTATCCTAAAATTCAATTGCAATTCGCAAGGGTATTGCAGCTTCCCAAAGTTAGTTTTCTTTATAATTTATTAAATATTATTGTAAAACGATTACAATGGACATCATGACTAATAGTGTTCTTAATAGTGTGCCCTCTGCTGTTGCTGCATAAATATATGTTCAGGGATTGTCCGCCAATGCCCACGCATGAGCGCCTGTCGAGGATTCGGGGTTCCGCGGATGGAATGAGATGGTACATTGGATGGTATGAGATGGAATGGGACGGAACTCTGGGGCTGGTGATTGCCTTTTGTGACTGGTGCAACTATTGTGATTGCTGTTGCCTCATATTTTTCATATCTTATGTCTGCATCATCGACGAGCCCAAGGGGCGGGAAGAAGCGGACAGGCCGGAGGCTGACAACAAAGGAGATGTCTCGACAGGAGGAGGAGCTGGATGGAGGAGGAGGAGGGGGATGAGCAGGAAGACAACGCGGATGGCCGTTCGCTTATTTGGCAAATAATAACAACAGCACCAACAATGGACCCCCAAAGGCAGACGGTTGGAAATGAGGCGGCATCTGGAGATGGAGATGGAGCTGCTGCCTGGAATACTTATCGAGGATGGACCTTATCCTGGCAGCATGTGCTACCGCCACCCATCCATATTGTCATCATCGCTCGTTCTCGCTGTGGTCGTTGCACAAATTAAAATGAATTTTATTTTTACTTGACACTCGACTTTTCCAGCAAGGAATCACTCGAGCATGGTGACTTTGGGGCTGGGCATAAGAAAATGTAAAGAGATCTGGCTGGGGTGAGGGAGTGTCACCAAGAAGAGTATTTCTAGGTCGTTAGTGGTTCAACTATTGATTCTCTCCCCCTCAATCCAAAGTGGACATATCATAGACTTATTGAATGCCTTTCATCTTTCCATCAATATGAGTTCCATAAGAAGCTGTTTTCCCACATCCCCCACTTAATGATAACAATAATGATCATAACAAGCGACCCTGGCCCTGCATAGCTTTGTATATCTATAGATATCTCTATATATATATTCCATTGTCATCAGATTGCCATTGACACGCATTGTAATTGAGTTGATATGGCGGAACGTTGGGTCCATAAATTCCACACAGACTGAGACAATTAGAAAATGCCAAGCAACCACGGAAAAACAGAACAGAACCAACAGATACAAAAAAAAAATGCCAAAGCTGCCGGCGATTAGCCAAAGTAGCACATAAATTTTCCCTGAAAATAAAAAAGAAAGATTGAATGAAATCTGTGTGTTTGGGGGAATTAAACCAAGCGGATCGGATGGGATCGGGATTGGGGATTGGGGATTGGGAATGGAAATGGGTATAGAGGCAGCTCCGATCAACCTAATTGGACAACAATAAAACGCATTTTTACGCGAATTTTCTTCACAGTTCATTTGACACAGCCGGCCCCATTACACATACATAGCATGCGTAGCAGCGGTAACATTTTCCGGGGGAAATCTCTGAAACAAAAATTTTGCAAACAGATTTTGATATACGAGCAGACAGGGGGCCAAGGCCCAGACCCAGACCCAACCGGCGAAAAGAAAATTTGCAGGCGGTCGAGAAAAGAAAAGTTCATAATTTAGCTGCAATTTTAATTAAAAGCCAAACAACGTTCAGAGGAAGCTATCTGGGGAAATGCAGAAATGCAGAATGCGAAATGCGAAATGCAGATTGCAGAATGGAGAATTGCGAGAGAGAAACGAGAAACGGAAAATGGGAAATGTGAAATGTGAAAATGTAAAATGGAAAACAAAAAAACAACCGAAAAAAGTGGTAAGGCAGATGTGCGAAACAGCTCACAGCTCACAGCTCACAGAAAGGAAAACATGTGAAAATCATTTTGCACCAAGTGGAAGAGGCCCGGGCGCCGACAGATAAGCCGGGACAGGCCATGGATACCGGGACTGGTCCAGTGCCTGCATTTGCCACTGCCATAAGTCCGCCCGGATTCGCAAGTCGACGTCTCTGGGAAGTTATGTGCCCGTTTTTGTTGTAAAACGGCACCAAAATTATGGTCGAAAACCAAACAGGCCTCAATTGCCAAGGGGAAGTGAGTGCGCGCAGCCAGTCCCTGGCCAGACCCAGCCTTCAGCCTCCAGCCTCCAGCCTTCATCTCCATCCTCATCTCCAGCCACACCATGTCATACCATCTATAAACTGGCTACAAAATGTATAAATTTTTTGTTTTTGCCATACAATCGTATTCCATACATATCGCCGAAAAGAGAAGAAAAGTGGGAGGGAACCCCAGACTGTAGGGAAGATGGAAAAGTCGGTGGGTAAAGACAGACAGACGGCGGGAAGTAACACGATATGATATGATCTTCAGAGTGCAAGCGGCGCCATAGAGTGTGCTGTGTGTGTCTCTGGTCGAAGAATGGAGAATTCTCCAGAGACTTCAGTGGAACAATGTTGCCGAAAGTAAGCGAATGTTCCCATAAATCATAGCAACAAGAGAGACTCTTGCGATAGTCGGAAATGGGTTAGTCAGATGGTCAGGTATAGATACCGGAATACCATGCATCAACTACATACATATAATGCATTATGAACCTTAAGTAACTATTAATAAATGTGGGATATTACTGGAAATATGTTTGTTATTATATTTATTAGTTCGATTATTATAAACTCTTTAGGAAAAGAATTTTTAAAGATATATAAATAAAAACATGAGCTAATGCATATCAAGCTGTTTTAGGAGAGAGTCACCTGTGACTCATCAGTGCTCAATTCTTAAAATACTTTATAATATAGCCTCAATTAGATTTGGTAATGAGAGATATAATGATATAAGATGTGAAGATAGAAACATTGCTCTCAAGATCATATGAAAAATAGTTTTTTAACTTTAACATTAAGATATAAATATTTATAAAAACTATTTAACAACTTACGCATCAAATTTCAATACAGTTTCGATAAATTGCTATTTTCTGCTATTCACAAACCAATAACTTCACAAGGAGTCATTTCCGACCCTATAAATCATATATATTCTTAATCAGCATTGAAAATAGAGTCGTTCTAGCTTCGTTTTAAAGAAAAACAATTTTTTGCAATTTTTTTTTAAATTTTATAAGGGGTTACATCATTAAAATTTTCAAAAATTGGCAAAATTTAGATTTTTTAAAATTTATAAACTAAGTATGCAGATTTGTTAAACTATTAAAAACTAACTCAGAACAGCTTTCCGATTTGAAATTTATTCATTTTTAGCTTAGTTATGATATTTCAAAAACTTTGATTTATCGAAAAAATTGGCTGGCGAATGCAAACTATATGCAATAGTGATTTTAGATAAAATATTATTGTAAATATATATCCATAAAAACGGACGACTATATCATAAAGCTGAAAAAAAAGGATCGTTAAATGAAGAGTAAAATTCAAAACTGTGGCTCATTTAATCTATCTCAATAAAAAATATAATAAATAATAACAATAAACAATTTA